ACGAGAATAAGAAGTTTAGGATTTAGGCGAAAACTGGAAAATGGAAAAACAAGATAACATCACAAGAGAATTTAACCCAAATGCTTCGTCAGAAGTTGGTGATAAAGGTAAGCAGACGTGGGAATAGATTTCTACTATATTTCTTCTTTTTTATATACAATTGAGAACTTGTGTATCTTTAAAGCCTTATAACAAACATCGAGTGGGCTCAAAATATAGTAATCGTGAGGTTCAGATCAACTGGAAACGCACCAGTTCTCAAAAGAAATGTATTCAAGATATCTTCAGGTCAGAAATTCCAGGCTCTAATAATGTTCTTAAGAAAGGAACTGGGGTATAAAAATACCGACCCTTTGGTAAGCGTGATTTTTTATTATTTCAGAAAGAGTGGTTTAATATTTCTGTCAAGGTGCTGAAACCGAAGTAAAGTGCCGATGATAGCATTACTTGGATGGTTAGCTTTTGAATAGTAAAAGTACAGACTAATACCTTACGTGTGTTTGAGTTCCCCCCATCAATCACCATATCAGAAAGTGCAAAGACGGATGTAAAAGTATCATCAAATGGTGTGGATAGTGATATATAAGCAAGTTTGGATTTATCTTAAAAAATGTCGATTATAGCACATTAATCTTATCCGCTTCTTTTTGTACAAACAAATAGTTTTTGTATATAAACAGTTCTTTTGCACCAGCACCAGACGAATTAATTAAAAATCTAGCAAAGGTTTGTATTTAGGCATATTCGAATTTATCTCTTTTATCAGGGGTCTGGGGGACAGCATATATGGCATGTATGGCGTGTACGGCTTCGTAAAAAAACAAATCTTACTAGTGTTTAACTATCCTTCACTTGCAGACTTAATTAACTAACCCCATACACAAACTCTGTAGTGCTTTTTGGTCGAAAACCAGCTGATCATAAACTATGCAACCACAGCCGCCTGGGGATAGGCAAGTAATACGGAATACTCCAGTAAAGTGTTGGCTTAGCTGTAATGCTCAACTTTGCTAGCATAATGGTATGAGAGTATATAGCAAATCCTGGAATTAATAACGAATAGAACATTTTTCTTGGTGGGATGTGATGGGACGTTATACGAGGGATATGGTGTAAATATTATATCTAGCCAGGATAACTAACAAGAAACAGTTAAAGCA